TAAAAACATCACAACTCCCAAGATAAGGACTTTAACTAAAAAAAAAAAAAAAAAAACATCAAATAAAAAAAGAAAATCAAATCAGCAAAGACTAGAAGAAAGAAGAGAGAAAGTAAGAAAAAAAGGAAAATAAATTAAAAAAGAAATACAAAAGACAATTTTAAAGCTTATCATAGAAAAAAGAAAACCTTTTCATTATGAACTTTAAGTAGTTAAATAAGTAGCTTACTTCTGCTTAAAGTAATATAGCAAGTTGTATTTAGATACTATTAGGATAGCCAAATAATGCTAGACTTAGTTGTTAAAAATATTTATATAATTATAAATGTAATTTCAAAATCTTAATAAAGTACTAACATAACTACTTAAGGAAAAAAAAATATTGCAAAATATAGTTAAAATTAACAATTATAAAATTTTTTTTTTTTTAATATTAAAATTCCTATTTTTGAAATACAACATTTTTATTCAAATATATAGAACATAGTATGTCTCTAGAGGCTACCTTATGTTGAAGGTTACAACTAATTATACATGCATTTTTGATGCTTAATTTAAGTAGTTTACTTATATATTCTATATAAGTTCTATACTAGAAGTTTTGTCTATTTAAACCTTTTGCATATGCAATTCTTCTTGTATTATAAGAACATCTTTAAGGCTATACTCATTCAAGTTCCTAATACTAGTTGATACCTTTAGGACTACTTTATCCTTGACTAGAGTCTTTATGTTCTACATATACTAATCTTGTTTTATACAACATACTATAGTTACTTAATACTTGCAGTTATAGAGATTATCTGTTTAACTACTACATTATACTATTTCTACTCTTGTAAAGTTTATTAAAACTTTAGTATCTATCTTTTTAGTATTATTTTTATTATTCTTTACTAGTCACAACTCAGAACTAACAGTCTCATGCCAAATTATTAATTCAGATGATCTAGTATAATATATTTCTGTATTTTTTTTTTTCAGTAAGTCTGACAATCTAGTTGGTTTTGTGCTTTTCTATACATATTTGATATTTAGTTTTTAACCTTTAGTTCTTATAAAGATGTTTTGTAAACTTTAACTGGTTTGATAATACCATTGAAAATTTATGCTATCTCTTTATTTGAAAATTTTCAAGTAGGTTTCCATCATCTCAGTTCTTTAGTCTTTTATGTTCAGTGATCTTATTGTGAGTTTATACTAAAGTCTTATGTAACACTAGTTATACATTCCTCTATATACATATAAAATTACACTTTGTATAGATGCTTCAAGCTTCTAATATTGGTAGAATCTAACTTAGTATACCTGGTTTATAGCTGCATAAGGCCACTGATTGACAGGAAACAGTTATTATAACACAGATGTAATTTTCAAATTTTGTCATAGGTGAAATTTGAACCTTAGACCTACTACTTGGAGAATGATAATCCAATCACTGCACTAGGATTACTATTCTCTATTAAAAAAAATTTCATCTTATAAACTAATAATTAAAAATAAATTTTGACAAAAAATTTATAAAAAACTTAGTTAATACTGTTAACTTATACTTATCTAATTAATATATATTTTAGTAAATTAATAAATAAACTATTACAACTAAATTTAAATTTAAAAAAATATCTAAACTTAAAATTTAAATTAAATAATATTTAATAATATCTAAATCTAAACCAATATTTAATCTAAATTAAATTAAAAATATAATTTAAATTTAACCTTAAAAAATATCTAAAACTAAATCTAAAATCTAAATTAAAATTAAACCTAAAACAATATCTAGATCTAAAATTTAAACTAATTAGAAACTATATATATTCAAAACAATATCTAAGTTTAATACATAGATTTAATGCCTAAACCTGAAACCTAAATTAGCTAAAGTTTAAACCCAAAGCAATGTCTAAGTCTGAGATTTAGATTAACTAAAATTTAAACCTGAAGAAACGTCCATGCTTAGACATAGATTAACTAAGATTTAAACCCGAAGCAACGCCCGGGCCTGGAACTAGCTAAGACCTCGTCATGATATATTTCACATTAAATTTATGAAATGCTTAATGTCGGCAAATAATTTAAGCACCGATTACGTACCTGATTTTGGTGGAGATACTAGGTGGGTCAGTTTTCCTATTTACAATTGTTAATAAAATCTTTATTAACGATCATTACTTTGTTATCTGTAGCACATATATGTATGTAATTAGACTGATATCAAATATAGAGATGCAAACAGCGCTACCGGCTTGTATATTAATGATAATAAAAACTGATTAATCATTAGAGCTGATAAGCCCATTCGCATCTCTAATTGGAAACCCAAACATGGTATGGTTTAAAATGTGTATTTTGCCCATCGCTAATTCGAATTTGAAGCAAAAAAAAATAATAATTCTAATTTATAATTAGAGTTCTGCAAGTGCTGAACACTTGCCGGATCCAGATACAACCGTTACAGACCAAAACCTGAACCAATTATCAAGTTTTAAACACTAGGCAAAATTTTGAATCTGTTTCATCTGATGTTTGATTTCGGTTAATAGATGGATCCTGTAATTCCTTGAAAAATGGAATAACCGCCAATTTTACTGTATTTTCAAATAAGTGAGAAATTACGTGTGAAAGTCTAGAACCCGTTTGTTTAAAATCAGGAAACTAATTTACAAAAAGAGTTTTAGATAAAGATTGTTGTTTTCAAATAATTGATACAATTTATTAGCTTAAACCTACAGAATTAGCTTCCAGCAAATAAACGTCCTTGTTTGCATCAACTAAGAAGTCAAATCCGAATAGTTCAAATGCATTCTCTAATGGCATGAATTGTGTCACCTCGCTCACCACAGCTTTAAAACACTCTCCAAGAATATTCTTAATCTGCTCAAATATTGAATTTAAATCTTGTTCATCGATCTCTGAATCATGATGAATCAATTCCCAAAATAATTTAACTTGATCAGATTCTTTAAACGATTCATCATGTATTTGTAAGCATGTATTTGTTAAATGCGCAAATGTATCATTAATGTCATTTGATTTATAAGAATGAAGTGCAAAAAGTGCTAACATATCTTTGTAAAGATAAATTTTGATTTTTGACACTGCGAGAACATATGCGCGGATGTGAAACTTTCGATCATTTATCAAAAGTGGGTTGGAAATGTATCGTTGTATGACCCACTCACGTAGATGAAATATACTTTCATCAACTTCATCATCTTGTAATATTTTTTCGTCAATATTGTCGTTTTTTTCCTCACAAGTTACTTCAAAAACAGCCCTTAATTGTTCTATGCTATCAAAAATTTTTATTTCAGCTCCTTTATTGCCCAGATTTGGTTTTAAGATGAATTTATGCTTCCTTTCTCGTGATTCATTTTCTTTGCATTCTTGAACAACTTCAAAAATTTCATCCAGAGCTTCGTCGAAGTAGTCCATGTGATCAATTTCAAAAAACCAGGTCTCTGGAGTTGATTTTTTTAAGCAAGAATTTGGATATTTTGCGACATGCTTTTGAATATTAAAATTCATCTGTGCTTTTCTTATAAGGCCCTTTAGATATATAATGATAATGAATCATGAGAGATTAATCAAAACATAACATTTTACAAATTTGAGTTACCTTTCTGATGCAGTAAGAATTTACTAAATGAGTTTTAGTATTCGTGAGGATTTGAGAGAAATCGATGTCTTCATATTCTAACCAATAAAGAATTGGAACATCATGAAAACTTGGTGCCGACGAAGGGGTGTAATGCTGAAATTGTGGAGCGATAGTTTTAAGTGAATTAATAATAATTGATCTAGTATATTGATCACGAATGTCAATAATTGCGGCTGGCAGCTGTTCTGACGAATCTTTTATTTCTTGTGCCATGATTCTCAGTTTGCAAACCAAATTTGGGACTGGTTCTTATTTATCTTTATTTCCAGAGTTGGCACAGTGATAAGGTAGGACCGTTCCATTATTTCTGGAAATGATTTTCTATAGTAAACTAAATTAGCAAATTATATCGATATGGATTTTCGTAATATATGTTTTAAAGCACTTTGTTTTTTTAAATTATATGTATATCTACGTATCTTTTATCATATACATACATCTATTCATATAAATCATATAAACGTTTTTTCTTTTCATAGCAGTAATTATAAAATAGCGGATATGAAGCTTTTTCCTATTAATTTTGAACAATATGGTGCGCACAAGCAAACCTGTTTCAAATTTTCATCGAACCTTAAGATTTTGTTACACAAATCTTTGGAAAAAACATCGGACATTAATACCATAAGAAACTATACGTACAATAAATGACGGTTATTAATACGTAGTTAGAACAATTTATGCAAATTCGAATTAAATTAAATAAATTCGAATTAAATTAAATAAATTCGAATACGTATAAAAATTAAGTTCGATTCCAACCTCTAATTCGTATCTAGTAACAAGCCTTCGTGTTACGCAAAATTAGCTTCACTGCTTTCAAATCTCAAATCAAAATTAAATGAAGAATGTCTCTATGTGATTGTAATTCAGCTAGCAAACTTATAATCGTAAAATTTTGAAGTCAATAGTTATGACTCATAATGATGTAATGTTTATCTAAATCAATAAAAAGAAAATCGAATTATCAATCTCATTATCTCCTTTTTTTTCTCGTTTGTTTACTTCTTCCTTCTATCTTCGTTTTTTTTTACTTCGCTTTCTTTTACGTTTTTTTTTCTATCTTCGCTTTCTACAGTTTATTGTTTTTTTTACTATTACTATTATACACATTCCTGAAAGGACTTATGTGGGTGATCATCAACGACCCATGGGGGGTAAAACTCCTAGTAGAGGTCTCATCTAGTGACACGGCTGGTCAATGCTTGTCAAATCAGTCGAAACATAAAGTTTATTTTCCATATGTTGAAACTGGTTTTTAATCGGTTTTACCATATGGGAAATAAGATACTTTCCACGTCACTTCCGTATTGGTTCCTTCAGTTTTTTGACTTCTACTCTAAAAACCTTTTGGATCACCTGAGTATCGGCGTCCACGTCGCGTGATCCGGATAACCAACTGACGGATACTCGTTTGTCTTTATTGTTGCTTAATTAATAATTATTATGTTACATTGACGTTTTTTTTATGATTAAAAATTTTTGTAAATCGAATAAAGCCTCAAAAACATAGTAACGAGCTAAAAAAAAAGATTATATATATAGTATAGCGTGAATTTAAATTTATACTGATTAAAAATGTAATGTACACAAATGAAACAGCCAGGGCGGCCCCCAAAGTGCAAAGTCAATTAATGCAACTTATTAGTTCTCTTTTAGCTGCATATGAGACGTAGCAATTGTACGTAATGCCGTTTCTATGCAAATTTAAGGAATATCAATTTTTTTTAAAATAAAATTTATTTTCTTTATAACACGACTACATCACTTCTTTCATCGCTATTTATAAAACAAAAGTAATGTATTAATTAGCAAAAGAAAAAAAGACTACCGCTACGTAGCAATAACTCTAGAGTATAAATTACTTTGGAATAGCGTAACATTGGCATGATGTGGTTTATATCAGACTTTACAATAAAAGATGTAAGCGATAATTAGCGTTGAGTGTCGTCAAGGAAAACCTGTCATTGGCTTTCAATTATATTTGTATCAGTCGCAATCAGTATAATTTGTTAAAGATTGTATTCGATACAAAATATAATTGAGAACCCATTGTTTCAATACTCTTGCTATTATATTTTATAATAATCATTATACATTAAAACTTTTAAATAAAATATTTATTGTGATTTGATAAAGATTAACAAAATTTTGGTTGCCTGGAATGGTAACTTGCTTTATACTTTTTTTTTTCTTATTGAACTTTTTGTCATTAGCGCCTGCTCGTGTAATGTATTTATTATGAAGCATGTAACCTTTTTTTATATTTTTTGTTAAGATCTGTTGGTTAGCAAAAACGACGCTTCAAGCATCCTGGACATACGTTCAAGTATAAACTTAATTTTGGATGCGTTGACATTGTAGTATCGTTCAAAATACTAATTACACTCAATGTATGTGTGCCGTATTTAATTGGCCAGAATACTCGGAAGTAATCGGAAGTGTGGATAATAAGAGACGAGCAAGGGTTACAATTGCAAAAAAATTTTGGTATAATCTGCCAACAGGAGGAACCGTCGATGTTACACGACTGATTCTTCACCCGGTGTGCAACATATAAAAAAATCATTTTACAATA